GGGGGGGGTCATGGGCCATGGGCAGGTTCATGGGTCAGGGGGCGGTTCATAGGTCAGGGGGCGGGTCATAGGTCATGGAGCGGGTCATAGGTCATGGGGCGGGTCATAGGTCATGGGGCGGGTCATAGGTCATGGAGCGGGTCGGCCCGTTGCTGCGATACGTCACAGCGTCCGCCATGTTGAATGTGGAATATGTGCCAGTAAGCTAATACAAGTAAAAGGACCAAACTTCACAAAGTGCCGTTCTACAAAGTTTTTTAAATTAATTCCTGTCATTGACACATTTTCTCACACACTAATATATTTGGTAATCAGAGAAATGACTAAAGAGAGTTTCTAACTTTTGATGTGATTAATTAATTGTTTTGGGGCATTTCTGAATAAAGAGCACAATGTTTTATTTGATAGAAATTATCATTTTTATATTAACATTGATGAACAGACATTTTTACAGTGTTTTATTAAAGAACATATTAACATGATTCCATAATTTAATGTACATTTAACATTTCAAGACAAAAAACAATTTTCTTGTATTTATTTTTATACATTGAGAAATGACTTTTTATCAGTCATTGTCAAACATTAAACTATATATTTTTCTTACTTTTTTCCAGAGAAAAAATATTTATTACAGTATGTAATGGAAACAAATTAATTTACCAGCACGTCCTTAACTGTGTTGATTCCTCTCTTCATCAAGAAGAAATCCTGTGATTTTCATAACATTTGCTCTTTATTTGCCAAAGTTAGGAGGGACAACAAAATATTTTAGCTCTTTCAGCCGCCTGAAATAATCTGTTCCCCCTACATAAAATGGACATGTACAGTGAATTACTTTCTTTGTTACCTAAACTTTGAACCATTAAGTGAAGCTGTTTATTTCAGTTTGCAGAAAAACTAACAAGTGGTTGTGGATTTTCCTGCTTCCACTGCGGCGTCTACAGCATGAGGTTTACATTGCTGTGGGACTTATTCTTAACAGTGGTGATTATAACATTAATATTCTTATTTTGAGTGTTAATGAAATTTTTTTTATCATGACTATAATTTGTATGTTTTGATAAAAAAAATATGTACTTAGCCAAAACTTAATACATCAACATGGAATATGAAAACAGTTAAGAAAATTGTTTGTCTATAACTTAAGTACAATAATTTCATTTTGTATAGTTATTAAAAGTAGATGCGACATTTCAAATCTGGGCTAGATTATTCTCCTCTTCAACAAGAGTCTTTATAACCATGTTTGTGAAACTTTTATCTGATTAGTGAAACTTCAAAAAAGGGCAACTTTTGCCCTTTTCTTCGGTCTTGTGTAACGCTAACTAATGGGCGAGGCTACGGCCAAATATAATAGTAGGCCGTCAGAAAGTTCGGCTGTGGAGCCCGTGTGTGTGTGTCTGTGTGTGTGTGTGAATAAAACACCATCAGACAGAAAGTAAATTCAAATTATTGTATTCAAGCTTATATTTTTGCATATATTTAGGAAGGTATTCAGTAATAATAGTATTGATAATAATAGTGATTTTCTATGAGTATATCCAATAAACACAACAAGAAGAAACAACAACAACAAAACAATAAACCCTGATGACACCCAAGAGTTTTTGTTTCCTATTTTAAGTCCGTTCTTGAATCCAGGGTGATTAATGGTCCATCAATCAATAACCGACTGTTTTTAGTCCATGATCCAAGGCAATAGGTCCAGAATGCACAAAGTATTTTGGTTCAATTAAGTCCTACCGCAAAGCTGCGGTGACCCTTAGCTCGCCATCCTGGGTTGAAACGGGGTGGAAAAAAACCTGACCTAAACAAGGTCATAAAAATAAATAAATAAATTAGCATTCACATTTAAACAGGGTTAAACTGTTATCCAAAATAGCTCAACATTCAGTAATAAAAAAAATAGCTATATTCCATAGAATATTTCTCAGGAATCATTCAAATGAATTTCAAGTTAAGGATCACATTACAGATCCAAATAAAGTTACAGATCAAATTAACGTGCACTTTCAAGTTGTATGCAAGTTTAATTGACATTAGAGTCAATTCAACTTAATTGACTTCAGTATTGTTTCAATAAACAATTAATTGTTTTTATTTTTTTCTTTTGTTTTGTTGCGCAACTCCAAAGAAATTAACCAATTCCAGAGTTCTATTGGCCGTTAACAAAATCAATGAAAAGTAACTAAAACTATCCTAAAAGGATGAATTTACAAAAATCAAAGGGCCTATTTAATATTTTGAGGATATATAATCTATTCGGCCACAAAATTAACAAAAAGAGAATGACCTTTTAATCAATAAGACCATTTTTCAATCACTAATACATAGATTGAGTGGGCGTGTCGCCACCGCATTTCTATTTAAAAAAAAAAAAAAAAAGTACATAAAACAAATAACTCACCATCAAGCGGTTGCCAGAAAACACCCAATATAATCCTTCGGCTGTGTTAATAAGGCTCGATCCAGCCGCATTCTTCTGTGGTTTTGGAAGACGCCAAGACAAGCAGCGATGGAATTCTTCTTCTTCTCTTTTATTATGGCGGATTGCAGCAACTTTAAGGTGCATACCGCCACCTACTGTACACGAGTGTGTAGCAACATTTCTTTACATCTATTAAATTCTATTTATTATTCTTGTATTTCGAAGAAAAATAAATAATGCTTTTCTCAATCTATAAATATCCATTATGTTTCCTTCATTTCCTAATATTCCTTCCA